GTTCTATCATGTTTGGAGACTGGTGCCAAGATGATGTGAAGAAATCAGTGACATATACTCGGTCTTGAGAAGGTCACATTAGAGAAGTATATGGGTTTAAGAGTGAATGAAAGCTTTAAGGTTCCAGCATGTTTTTTTTTCCCAAGAACATGCAGGCTACACGCCATTATGTTAAGGAGGATTTTTACGAACACGCAGGATAGTTGTGTATCATTATATTAAAGAGAAAAGGTGGTAATAACCCTTAAAGAAGTCACACACCCACACCACTCATAATGGTTGGCAGCTGATACAAAGGCAAACAAACTGAAACAACAAAAACAGAAACAAAATACCAAAGCCAGACAAAAAAGAACAAAAGTGAAAACATAAGACGCAAAACAAAACACGCGTTAATACAAACTCAAACAAGTACTCTGAATGCTATCTGAAGTAACATGATATGAAACTCAGTGCAGAGGGACAATGCTGTGGGTGAGGTAAGTGGTAACCCTCCGCAAACCAATGTGTTGGCTGTCCTGTATCGGATATGAATAACAAGTTTAGTGTAAAATTTGGATCTCTGAGATGCCCTAGTCAATGCACCTCCGAGGTGTCTCTTATGTCCCTTCGGGGTTGATGTTTGTAGGAGGGTACTAGCATGGGGGAATTTCTCCTTACCTCCACATGTATAGGCTGCCAATTACATCAACATTAAGATTGGTGGGAAGCTGCGGTAAAGACAATACCAAAAGATAAAAGATGCACTTCAACAGATTATGCATCTACCATGTGGAATTTGTGGAAAAAAAGAAATCGGCAGATTTTCCAAAATGATTGCTCCACGCCTCTATCAGTTGCGCTACGTACAAAAGAGGACCTTGATCAACGACAGCATGCTTTTCAAAACTAGTTTAGGAGACCTTCGTGTGTGCTTTTTTTTTTTGTTTCTTTACGGGTTGGCTCTCTCAAGAGCATGTGGTTGTCCTGTAGCCTGTTGAGGCGTGATTGCTATTGAGGCAAAATCTTCTGTTTCCCTAATTTCAATGCAAGGCAGAGCTCCTGCCACTTTCTTTAAAAAAAATGATCCTCCAAGGTTGAAACTCAACGGTCAATGCAACTGGTGAAGAAGGATCTGTAGGCTGATTCAGTAGAGAGAGTCATAAAGAGAAGACACCTCCAGCTTCGGTTGTCCACTTGTGATCATCAGGGACACCTGGTTGCAGAACCACTTCAGTGATGATATCCTGTAACTGAAGAAAATTTACCAGAACCACAATAGTCAGATGTCCTTTCATGTCCCGCATCAACAAGTTCAGATCTCCTTTCATGTCCCACATCGAGTTGATGCAAAGCCTGGCACACCATTTGCTGATCGGCAGCTCATCAAGATACCATTGCAAACACATAAGGTGCAAGATCAGCCACTAACTTCCCATGCAGTCTGCAGTCTTAGCGAAAACAAGGTACTTCACACCGTGGCCCAGTTTGGAGACAGTTAACATGGAGAACAGAGCTCTTCAGTTAGCATGCATTGATAAATTGAAGCTTGCCCATGTCTTGTTCGGTTTGGGCCCGTTAAAGCATGGTTGCAAAAAGATTGACAGATTGGAATGAGAAGCATCTATCCTTGGGTGCTACAGAGGTCCTTTCTAAATCAGTAGCACAAGTCCTGACAAGTGCCAACATATGTGATGTGTGTATTCAAAACTGTGAAGATTTATGCGAATGATTCATACTTTTTGTCAGGGAAATAAGAAGACAAGAGTAAAGGTCACTGGTTACATGTGAGCAAAATGATTATGCCTAAATCACGTGGAGGGCTTGGATTTCAAGATTGCAGCTATTTAATCAAGCTCTTCTTGCAAGACAGGCGTGGTGACTAATTTAGTTCCCAGAGAGTGGGCATACAAGATTGTGAAAGACTTACTACCAAGCAGGTGAACTAATTGATACTGTGTTCAGGTCGCAACTGTCTGCTACACATAGTACACATAGTAGTTGAACATGGGCTCGAGCTATTGAAAAAGACTAGTCGGGAGAGTTGATTCAGGCAGCAAGTTTCAACTATGAAGAAACAGGTGGGTTCGGTGAGAACCATCACGCATATTTAGCCAAGTAATAAAACCTGAAGAAGGTTGAGATGGGTGTCACAGCTTAAAAAATGATGGTCATGAATGGGACGAAAATCTCATCTAAAATATCTGCCATATTATGATTGGACAAAGGTTATAAATGGCAAATTATTATTTGTGGAGGATGATATTTAACCAGATATTATGAGAAGAAAGGAATTTTACAGTGTGCCGGTGTTCTAAGGCAATAAGGCAAGGTATGCCTAGGCGACGCCATACGTGCCTGTATACATCAGAAAAATGTTGAGATAGTTGAGCCATTGCAACTCTCAGATCAGCACGTCCTTGCAACTAAGTTAGCCTGTCAGTCCACTGTCCACCTGGTCCTCATTGCACAAGCAACAACTAGAAACCCACACTGTTCACAGTGCCCACAAGCTTTGCTTGGAGCCATGGGGTCACAAGATAGTAACAATGCTGATGGAAATCAGAAAATATGGTCCACTGATGTACCAGACACAGAAAGTCAAGGTGATTGCATGGTGTCTTGCTTTCAATGGTTTGGCTACCTAGGAGAATCGTCATTGGAGAGCACAAAGTGACCATAATGCAGTTGTGAGATGCAGTGAAGCATGTTTCATGGTTTTCTCAAGAAATTAGAACAAGCACTCTTCAGTGAGAAATGCTAGGAGAGACTAGAAACTGCAGTATCATTTTTGCAAAAATGACATCGTACATGCTAAGGGAGATTGTACTATTAAAGGTCAGTTCAGTTTCCAGTGGATTACAGAGATAATTCACTCTGTTCATCAGTAAGTGAGAAAGGGAAAGGAAAAGGGAAAGGGAAACTTGTTAAGGCAAAAAAGAAGAAGATAACTGTAGGAGGGTTAGTAGATGCATTGGCCAAGGTGTCAAAGCCAAAATGTGAACCACCATAAAGGATGGTGTGAATCAACATAGATCCTCCTTACCGGGAACTTGATCCAAGGAAGGTTAGCATTGGTGTTATTGCTCAGGATGGCAGGGGATATGTTCTTACTGCATTGTGCACTATCAAGTGGCAGTGGTGGAAGGTGAAGCTTTGGTGTGTCTATAATGGATTATGCTGATTGCTGGCACATGAGTGCATGTGGATGTGGTTGATTCTTGAATCAGACTTGATCCTAATGACCACATGTTACTTCCTACTTATCCACAAGTTATATCTTGTGTTTTGGAACATGATACATTTAACTATAAGCAAAGGGCAGTTTAAAAGAATACTTACAGTGCATAAAAGTTACATTCTATACCCAAGAAAGGTTACATAAACTAGCAAGAATGTTACATCCTAGCAACCGCATGTTACACCATCGACAAGTTACGTCCACAAACTAGAAAAATTACATCCTTCTCGTTTATCAAAATTTAGTTGCAAAGAATATATATAGTTTATGCCTGGAAATGTACAAGAGAGATAATCTCATTTTTAGAGGCAGCAGGATCAGTTTTTTCATGTTTGGAAAGTTGGGGAGCTTTCCCCTCTAAGACTAGATAGAAAAGGTTCTCTATTTAGACATTCCTTTTTTCCCCTTGTCTCATGGTTCTAAGATATGCTACAATATTTGATAACGTTGCAGTTGCATATGTAAGCAGATGATAGTATAATACTAAATAGTTGTACAAATCTAAAAGATGTCATGCTAATAATCACCAGTTGACCTTATATAATAAAGAAAACCTCTTTCTTTTTTAGGGAACATAAATGGGAGACCTAAGCAACCGGCCATAATGACTGGGAACTTACCACTTAATGCCTCGATGTGACCTTGTACTTAATTTGAGCTTCTTGTGATGCTCTCTTAAACTTCATAATCTCAATGCAAGCTTTCAACCTGGAACTTTCATTCTCAGCATTGTGAACAATAGTGAATTTTTGTAGCACATGAGCTTTTGATAAAACCAACAATATGAACTGCAGCTCATTGTACGATAGGTACACATCGATCAATTTCATAACGCGCAGGCACCGAAACAAATCCCCAGACCCATGTGTATTCCAAAATTCTTGGGTTTCTTCCAAAAGATGATGAAAGCCATGCCTTGAAACAGGGAGCTGTTTTCCATATGTAAATTAGTGAAGTGATAATAAAAATGAAGATAGGAAACACATAATAGATAATAGGTTTACCTTAATCCTAAGCTCCCTTATGTTTGGACAACATCTTAATAAGTGAAGAACTAAAACAATGTAATGCATCACCCAGATCAGCATCTATTGTTAAACAATGCAAGTTCTCAAATTTGGTTGGGATGTTTAATGGCACCATATCTTGAAAATCAACCTAGAGAGGGGAACAAATATGAAAAAAAAATGTCAGTTAGATGAAAAAGGATCCTATAATTGGAAAAGCACCCCAATAGCAGAAAATGGAACAGTAAAAAAGGGCAAAAGATATAACTCATATGTGCTCATTCTAGAATATTCCTCTTGAGCAAGAAAAGTACATACTCCACCAATCAACTCCAAGGGGAAAGGTAGCATTTTTTGGAAATATTGAACCACATTTATGTACATTCTCCATGAAACAAATATAATAACACAGAAAATAGACGGAGTTTGTTAGCAATGGCAGCAATCATAACTACTTCCTCTAATTAATCAAGTCCATTAGGACATCCATAAGGTCTTCGATATGACACTTCTACTAGCCATATCTATAAAAAACATTATCTTAATAGGAACAGTCATATTGTTAGACTTAGGAAAAACTTGAATGGGTTCTTGTGATTAGAGGAAATAAAAGCTTCGATGAGAAAAACACAAGGCCCTTATGGCAATTCAAATTTCTTAACAAAGCTTAATATTGAAAGCATGGATAATACTCAATGGTAGGAAACTTCTTTATCGGGGAAAATGTCAAACATGTGGCAAGAAACCATTATCTTCTTACCAAGGGACTACCATCAAGCAACTCCAGCTCCTCCACCTGCGAAATGCCCTGTAAAATATGCAGAAGCTTCGACCCCCCCTTCCTGAGCATAGCGGAAAAACGGCAATTGGAGCTTGGCGTAAGCAAGATCGGGAAGCAGATTCTGAATCTCCACCATCCAATCAGCGGAACATGCTCTAATCTGAAATTCGCGAAGGCGAGGTGCAGCAATCTTTAGTGTCACACCAGGCACCTCTGGGGCAACTTTTACTGGCAATTGCTCTAGCCCCGGGCAACCAGAAATCAGAGCCGCGAGCGTGCCAAACTGAGCCGAGTTCAGATGGGGCTCCAACTCCACAGTGTAATGCACATAAAGGTACTTGAGGTTAGACAGCCCCGGGAAACCTGGGGTAGAGTCTGGGAGCAGACAACCTTTAAGCTCGAGGTACGCGAGCTGGACGCAGGAGAAGATGGAGGAGTGCAGCTTGTAGGACAGAAGCTTAAGCATGAGGCCCCTGAGGCAATGGCGGAGGCCCCTGCGGCCGCCTGAGCTCGTCCTGAGGGACCCTTCTTCCTTAACGGTGGCGAGGGAGCAGGATGAGATGGACGAGCGTGGAAGGTCGAGGTGGGAGGAGGCGCAAAATGGGCCTTTTGTTTACTTTGGTCGGCCAGATGTCGTGAGAGGCCCTTGAAAGCCCACCATCACACAACTCCTTCCCTAACCGGTGGATTCGTTCCCAAATTCCAAATCCCCAATCGTGACCTGCAGCAAGTGAAGCTGGTCGCATCGAGGCCGCAAAAGGCGTCCACCTGGGCAAGGTGGCGCAGGAGGACCGCAGACCCCCCGCCCCCCGCCTCCCCCGGCCAAGACTCTAGGGCGGGAGATGCTGCTCAACTGCTACTACTTTGGCAGTTCTGGCAGAGCAACCTGTGCGAGTCTGCGATGGAGGGAGGAGGAGCAGCCACTAGGAAGCGCTGCTTTTGGGCGCGTGATTGATGATTGTGTGGTACTCTCCTAAGCATTGATCTGTTTGGTGCTTTTGATTAGGATGTAGCGTTCGCGGATGTCGAGGGGCGACAGAGGATCTCGCCGAGGCGGGTGGTCGGCCTCGGCGGTGAACGCGCGCATCGGGCAAAGGCGCCCACAGTCAGGCATAGCGGAGCAACCTGTGAAGTCGAGGACAGGGAGCAGTGGTGGCGCGCCAGCGCGGAGAGCATGGAGGTGCGGACGCGTCTTGGATCCAGAGGATCGATCACCCTCGGGAGATCGGTCGAGCATAGCGGCCTGGGCCTCCGCCGCTTGGATCCCGTCGCCATGGGAGTCGCCGCCGCGGCGAACGGGAGAGAATTAGGGGCGCCACTAGCTCAGTGTGCTTTGGGCGTTTTTCCTTTTCCTTTTTTTTTGGCTTTGGATGTAAATTTCCTTGCCTTCTACGGTAGCATTTCTCTTGTTAAATACGTATATATTAGTGGTTTCTTCTAACTCAAAATTATTTACATCCAACCGACAATACCTATAAATTTATATTATTCTAAATGGAAATAATTATATTATATTATAAAACTAGTTTTTATCAAAATTGAAATGTGTCCTCGTATTGAGGATATATATATATATATAGGCACTACTAGCGCACGCCCTACTCTCTCTCTCTTCCTCATCTTCTACTATTCTTTTTCTTTCCCACCCCGTCCTCCTATCCCATCCACTGCCATGCTGCCCGTGGCAACCTCCTTTTTCCCCACCTCTGGCGTCGCCTCCCCCATTGCCTCCTCACCTTGCCCGGCTTCGACGTCGCTGCCCTCGCCCCGCCTCCGCCACTCCTCACCGCCCTGCTGCCCACGGCAACCTCCTCCTTCTTCCCCTCTCCCCTCCCGCAGCAGTCGCGACCTCCAGTGAGCTCCGCCCATGGCGCCCATGCCCCCAACCTGGTCCGGCTGCCTCCACTGCTGCCAGGGCCCCTAAACCGCCTGTCGGCCTCCCCACCACCTGGGCGGCCTTCCTCCCCCCGAATCCCTTCCTTTTAAGGCCGCTAAAGTTGGGGAAGAAGGGATGGCGAGCGCCGGAACCCTAGTCACTGCGCCGGAGCAGGGGGGAGAGACGGCGGGCATAGGCATGAATCGGACAGCCTTCTTCCCCGCGCGAATCGGACAGTCGTCAGGGTATGCGCGTCGAAGCTCCATCGCGTGCACGCTCAGAAACTATATATATATATATATATATATATCGTGTTAGAGCAACTTCACCAGATTGAACATCACATTCCCCTAAAGTATCAATATAGGAGATTGAAAATACAAAATTAAAAGAGAAAGGGGATGCATGCTTCCTGCAGCAGAATGAGAAAAGCTCCACCCCTTTCTCATCTAATAGGATATGGGGCCCACGTATAAGTGATTCAATCCTTCTCCTCCTCTCCTCATGAATTTCCTGGTTTCGTCTAGGCGTCATGGTTGCCCGGCCCGTTGAATCTCCTGGTGTGTTGCACAACGGTGTGTGCGGTTGGGGCATGGCGTGGCGGTAGCATGGCGAGGCGGTGGAAGCCTATCAGCTTTTCGACCCGGCACGACATGGCGAAGTTGCTTCTCCCCGTTGGCCATCCAACTTGACGTGGAGCTTGCCGTCACGAGGAGCAGCATAGTACGAAGCTTGCTGGCATGCATGCGGATCTCACCGCCATGAGCTCGTCGGTGCCGAGCTCGGTGCGGCGACTTGGTCGGTGTGAGGAGTAGCGTGGCGCTAGGCACGGTGCGGTAACTGGCTAGGGCCCGTATGCCAGTGAGAGGGAAGGTAGGAAAGGAGATTGAGAAAAAAAAATGATGCTTGGTCCCCTCTTTTGAGGGGGAGAGAGAGGAAATTTTGAGGGATTGAAAAAAAACTTTTTGAGGGAAATGAGATCGGGTGGAGCTCATTTTTTGCATTTAGTTCCTTTTTTTTTGTTGGTTATAGGAAAAGAGGACTTAGCAACTTAGCATGGAGATGAAGCTGAAGCCTTGCGCGTTGTTTTTGACGGCGGTGAGAGGGTTCAGTGTTGGGCGGCCTGTTGGCGGTCATCGACACCGCTCGCCAGCATGAAGAGCAGCGGTGGATCAAATAGTTGTTAGATCCGCTTTAGTCGAGTTCAAACTTCATTACCACAGTAGTCTCAATAGAGAAAAAGAGTGCGATTTAAATCAAACCCTTTTGATGCAGGGTTTCTTATGGTAGTTTCTATGTAACATGAAATTTAATAAGCATTTTCATTCATCACAGAGAGGGAACAATCAGATATGCAAAGCAACCTGGATAGTACCATCTCGCTCATAGTATCTTTTGTCTCCAAAAAAAATAACGTTGATAAACAAACCAATTAAAACAGTGAGTTCTGATAGTCATCGATCGATGCTTGTTGTTGATAAATAAACAAACCAAAACAGTAAACACAGTGAGCCTTCGACGTCGGTGGTGGGAGAGCTCTTTGTCTTGCGTGTACATGACGCGCAGCGGCCGCATCATGGACGCCACCCCCAGGCCCCCGGCAGCCGCTGTGATCGATGGATCGACCTCACGCTCGCGAGCGTGCGCTTTGGCCGTGGATTGAGCCATTGCCGCGAGGTCCAAGAAGTCGGTCACGCCCACACCTGTACGGATAATATTTCTTTGGCCTGGATGCGCATGCGCGTAAAGGTAAATAATGTACACACTCTGTACTTAACAAATCAATCAGCTCAGTTTACAATCTCTTTATGTGAAGGTAAAACGCTGCTATAATCAGTTCAGACTAAAAAAGGCGCAGATTGTCAGCATGTATCCGAACAGTTATTACTATATAGCTATGAGCATTTACCAGTAACTTAATATCAGCCATGTTTGGGACAACTTATCTGAGCCACAATTTAATCAAACTACTATAGCTTTTTCCCATCGCTGGCTTTCATAAGAATTTCAGGATAAAGAAGCTAACCTTTTGGCTTCTCAGTGCACTCTGAGGAATGGTAACTACTATATCAAATGTGAACTATGAAGCCATAACAATCCAAGCACCCAACACAGATTATCTGTTGGAGAAAAGAGGAAACGGTCAACATTTTCATAGGCCTGCATTATGCAACCAATCTGCACGATGAAATCCAACTGAAAGTACCAGAGGCAAGTTGGCGTGCAACAACGCTAGCTACGGATTATTAACTAATTATAATCTAAGTACAGTTGCCTCCACAATCGTGCATTGTCCATACAGGCGTTGAGTCAAACCCTACTGACCAAAAGAGACTCTCTTTACTTCCCCTTCCCTAGAAGCTGCAAAAGTTCCTCAGTTACCAGTTCCACGCTTCAAGCTAGCACATTGTGTTACTTCTCAACCTGCAAAACATTCTGAATGTAAACAGACGAGGAGCATATAATTGCTATGAAATTATGAATTTCAAAACTAAAGGCATTAGTATGTAAGGAGCTTGGTGCAGGCAAGAATACACATAACGAACATGTCAGATAAAGTGTTCTATCATGTTTGGAGACTGGTGCCACGATGATGTGAAGAAATCAATGACATATACTCGGTGTTGAGAAGGTCACACTAGAGAAGTATATGGGTTTAAGATCGAGTGAATGAAGTTAAGGTTCCAGCATGTTTTTTTTCATGGGGATAAAAGGATGTCAGTCGATACAAACGTAAACCAACTTAAAGAAAAGAAACATAAACACATGCTAACACAAACTCACAAGAACTCTGAATGCTAACTGAAGTCGGCAAATTGAAACTTGCCCATGCCTTGTTCGGTTTGGGCCTGTTAATTGTTAAAGCACGATCGCAAGCAGATTGACAGATTGGAATGAGAAGCATCTATCCTTGAGTGCTACATAGGTCCTTCCTAAATCAGTAGCACAGGTCCTGCCAACATATATGATGCATGTTTTCAAATCTGTGAAGATTTATGCTAAGGATTCGTATTTTTGGCAGGGAGATAAGAAGACAAGAGGAAAGGTCATTTGTTACATGGGAGCAAAATGGTGTTTCAAGATTGCCTAAATCACATGGAGGGCTAGGGTTTCAAGGTTACAGCTATTTAATCAAGCTCTTCTTGCAAGACAGGCTTGGTGACTAATTTAGTTGGCAGACGGGCGGATCTAAAGGGGGGGCTGGGGGGCTCCAGCCCCCTTATAGCTGGTGCATCAATGGAAATATGGAGAGGGTGAGGGAGAAGAAGAGGTGGAGGAAAGAAGAAAAATGGAGAGAGAGAGGAAGAAGAAGAGACCAGCTCCCCTTCAATCATGTTCTGCATCCGCCACTGTTGGCAGAGACACTATGGGAAACAGGGTCTTTGCCGAGTGCAACTTTCTTTGCCGAGGGCTAAAAATCGGGCACTCAGCAAAGAGCTATTTTGCCGAGTGCCGCACTCGGCAAAGATATACACTCGTCAAAGAAGGCTTTGCCGAGTGTCAGGCACTCGGCAAAGCCAGACACTCGGCAAAGGCCCTTTTTGCCGAGTGTCAGGCACTCGGCAAACTTTGGCGCTCGGCAAAAAACG